GTACAAAGAAGTGGAAAATTGGGTCTCTGAATGGTTTGCCTCAAAACAAGAAAAGTTCTATTCAGACGGTATCCACAAATTACCTGAAAGATGGGGGAAATGTGTAGCTAGTGATGGACATTACTTTGAATAAAGCACTTTTGATGTTTCTCTTGAAATTATCGTGTTTTCTTTGATTACAAAATCCACCATTATTAACTGGTACACCTGGTAAATTGAGTGATTTAAGGGCATATCTATATATATAAAAAGCCAGTGTCTGTGATGACCAAGATGACCAAATGACTGGTTATCATGAGGTGCATTGAGCACCTCTTGGTCCCTTCTCCTGCCCGCAGGCTCCGATGATTCAGCAATGGTGAACGGGGGAATTGGGTTGGGTGGCGGGAGGACTAGGTTGACTGTCAGGTTGTTGGGATCACCAGCTCATCCCCGGCTGCTTGGGGGCTCATGCCTGTGGGAAAGCAAGCGCAGGCGACTTCACCTCGATGCGCTTGCGCCGGGCTGGCTGCTGATATATTGCGCTGCCTGCTTGAGGCCCCTGACGCCGGTGCAGGTAGGTCGCGGGCGCGCCCCACAGCTTCCGTCAGTGCCTCAAGCCCCAGCCCCAGCAGCAATAGCGGCGGCGGCGGCGGTGGCTCCCGCATGAGCGGCTCTGAGTGGGCAGCGCAATCCATCAGCGGTGACCCAGCACACACATGGAGGTGAAGTCTCCGGCACACACTTTCCCACAGACCTGAGCCCCCGAGCAGCTGAGTAGCCAGGGTTGAGCTGGTGATCCTAACAGCCTGACAGCCGGGCGGCGGAGGCGGCATTCAGCCTGGGGATTGGTGAACGGGCAGAAGATAGCCCAGATTGCAGGAGGTTAGGCCTAGGGACCCTACCCACATGATTTCGTGCGCTGGGCCTCTAGTAGCATATAAAATGATAAGGTAAGTTTACCTTTATTTGTTATATTTTATGAGGACAAGTTTATAATCATATAAAAGACACAAAATAATCTTTTTCCTTCCCTTTAGTTTGCAATTAGGTCAATGTAATAGGCTGAAAACACACACTCATCTATGTCAATTACTTACATAATGAACTAATTTATTAACAGGTCCTTTTGGAAACATAAAGTATCTTAGTCCTTGCTTTAAATAACCAGCATTTTAATTCTTACTGCATGTGATAAGAAACTCTACTAATTACAAAACAAGCTTATTTCAGAGTTGAAAAAGATCAGTAATTATGGACATTAATTTTTCCCTTCAAAGTTTGTGTTAGCATTCTCTAATAAGTCAAGGAATTTAACATTTTGGAAAGTAAATTTTAGACATTTAAATGTATAGATTCTGATAAATTTTAGTAGAAAAATTTTATGCTGTTTTTCTACTGTTGAGAGGCTTCTGTTTTTCACTTATTATACCATTGGGAAGTAGGTAAGAGACCTAGAAACTCATGGCCAATATAAGACTTGATTTTCTGTGCAGAGATTATAATAAAATTGTGAACAGATCTGCTATTCTTTAGATAGTCTAAATAATGCTTATGAATTTGCGCTCCAAAGTAAACAGACCTAACTTGAATACTGGCTCAACCACTTACTAGTTTTGAGAACCTGAGCAGGTCACTTAATTCTTTTGTTTCTATAATTTATTTAAGGAGTTAATAATGGTCTTTATCTTTTGTGAGTATTAAGTTAGTGCATCTAAACAGCTTGACAGAGTGCTTAATCCTTAGTAAGTGCACAGTAAATGTTTCCACCACTGCTGCCACCATTGGAATCATCATTATCCATTTTTTCCTTTTGGAAGGATTTTTACAGCCATATTCTCCTACACCCTTAAGATTACTTTCATCACCACCATCCTGCTTCTTGTTTTCAAGTCTATTATAGTTTGAACTTTAATTATATTTTCTGTTGTTGGTTTTTTTCATAAGTAAAATTAATGAAAGCAATCAGTCAGTCTGAGGATCTTTTGTCCTTTCCTCTTAGCTCCTCCTCATAGTATATTTTGGGGCTATCTAAACTTTGTTTTTCTCTCTGTTATTAGAACTTATATAGTCCTATCTGGTTTGGCTCAGTGGATAGAGCGAAAGCCTGCGGACTGAAGGTCCTGGGTTTGATTCCGGTCAAGGGAACATGCCTGGGTTTCAGGTTTGATCCCCAGTAGGGGGCATGCAGGAGGCAGCCAATCAGTGATTCTCTCTCATCATTGATGTTTCTTTCTCTTTCTCCTTCTCCCTTCCTCTCTGAAATCAATAAAAATATATTTTAAAGAAGAACTTATATAACTAGAATTATAGGAAGAGAGAATTGGTAAGGACTGTAATGCCAGTTGTGCTGTATTACTTATCATACATATTATGGAATTGTATAAATGATCCCAAGGGAAACTATAATGAGAAAATTGCTTTTAACAGAGAACCTAGTGTTATCTATTGGATGGTGATTTAATTTCTTTTAAGAATTATCCTATTAAATAAGCTCAAGCAACTAGTGTTACATGGGAAAGCAGAATATTTAGTACTGGATAGATTTTGGTTTGGCTGTCCATGTCATATAGGCGAGTTATTTAACCGCTGAGTCTGTTTCTTCCCTACAAATGGACATACAGTTATATATACATACCCATCTTTTTGTGTTTTGAGGATTTAGTGAGATTATATATGTGAAGTGACTCTCTCATCGTAACTCCCATATGTAGAAGACAATTAGTAAATGCTAATTTCCCTTCTTTAAACAGTAATAATCTATTCAAATAGTTTTACCTTAAAGCTAGTTTTGAATAACTTCTTATTTTTCAGAGCCAATCTTTGAATGATTTTAGGGTCCAACTATGAGGCAAAGTTTTAATGAGAATTATCATAATAAATCTCAGAATACTGTCATGTCTACCATGCTGCAGAGGAATTAGATTTTACTATCCAATGAGAACAAGTGCACACCATGGTCATTACTACTACCTTTGTAGGAATCCAAACATCTGTATAATACCTGGCAGCCTATTTTTCTATGAGGTAGACCTGCTGCAGTATATAGGTAGATCCTGATGCAATTTGAGTAGGATCTTTTGAATCTGTAATGTTTCCATTTCTTTCTATTTTACGTGTTTCTACAGCATAAAGACTCTTACTGCCATTCCTTGTCTGACAGTTTATAAGTTTGTTGTAATTCCCTCCAATGTATCTTTTCTGGCTTTACTCTTTACCCTGTGCCAGTCCAATATAAGGTCTCTTCATGCTGTACATTGTTTTTTGCATACATTTTTCCATTTAAAAACCACTGTAACATCCATATTATATTTGATCATTATAAAACCCCTGGCTGTAGTTAGTTTGATTACCTCTCACCTGAGAAGCAATGGGGACTCAGAATTTAAGGGACTTCCCCCAGGGTGGTGAAGGAAGTTAAGTGTGTAACTGGGATTCCATTCGGGCTATGTTCTCTCTCTCTCTCTCTCTCTCTCTCTCTCTCTCC